TGTATGAATGGTACATCCTCTGAGGATGCACCTCACTGCAACCCTTCCTAAACAGGAAGGAGAAAATGGGACTTCATCGTTTTCATTTCACATTCTGCCCATGCCCTGTCTTCTTTTGGTCATTTTTCCCTCTTCTGGAATTGGAGCTCCTTCTTTTCTTATGAATGCATTTAAGGCTATAAATTTTGCCTCTAAGCATGACTTTAAGTGCAACCTAAGTGTTTTAACATGTTATATGCTCACTGCTGTTCAGTTGAAAATATTTTCTGGTTTGCTTTGTGATTCCTTCTACCACCTACAGGTTATTTAGATTACTTAATGTCATCATTTTTCTCCTGAGCACTCACCACATTAACTATTTTCTGTCTTTTAATCATTTACTTCATGTATTTAACCAGTTTCTATCCTTGTTCTGAATAACAATATTAGCTTGAAATAATTTATTTCATCTGGCTATAAATTGGAAATTAAGCATGTTTTATATGTATAAAATATGGCAATATGACAAAATTCTGTTAACCACATTAAAGTATAAACGTAGTTGATTTTTTGACATCTGTAGACATATTTGTTGAAAATTTCAGTGTTTGATTACAATATAGATAAATCAATATAATGTTTATAAGCAGCATCTTTTATGATCTTAAAACTAAGTGGTTGTGGGAGTATTTACATCTCTTTTTCATATTCATATTGAAATGTAAAGGCATTTTTAAGTAAATTTCTCATTATCAAGTTATTCACTCAGGGTGATCAGATGTCTATTCAAAACAGCCAACAATGAGCTAAAGGAGTCCTGTTCCAGCCAGAATCCTACCATTACCACAAGTGATGAAGGCACAAAAAAATCCTCAACAAAAGTATTTTATAACTAAACTCCTATACTAAGAGTTGGGAGAAAACTGGCTCTCTAAATTTTAAGATAAAAATCAGCTTGCCTATCAATATGAGGCAATAAATATTCATTCACTAGCTCTCATGTGCCAGTAATTTCCAGGGAACCTATAGAAATCTTACTGCTGTACAGATAAGACAGACTGACACAAAGACTTCAATCACAGGATTCTTTGGGTGGTTCTAAAATAGAAGAGACGCTTTATAAGTATTTTAAAGATAAGGCCTTATTCCAATCACTTTATACGAATTAATAAATTATTATAAATTAATCATTTAATACTTACAGCAAACCTGTGAACTAGTCGCTACAATCCTTGCTGTTATTATTCCCGTTGTCAGATGAGATAAAAGATGGTAACTAATTTGTGAGAGGGGAAAGCCTCAGATGGTGAGGGGTGAATTCAGGATTTAAACCCACGATGCCCGATCTGGACACTTCTGTTTAATCTCCGCAGCCCTCGCAGCTGCCGGCGCCGGCGCTGGCGCTGCACCCAGCCCTGCTCTGCGCGCTCAGCCCCACCGGGTCCCAGACCCCGCCGGCAGCGCCTATTAGATCTGAAGGATGGGAGCGTGCTGAGAAGAATAATGCTTTGAGACAATTGTGTGTTCTTTAAATACGGGCACGTTAATCACTCGGGGCTGCGCAGCGCATGCCTGAGCTGTTTGAATGAAAAACTGCAGGACTTTGCAGCTTCTTTCTCTCCATCGCTGTAGTCCGCTTCTGAACTTGTCTCCTTCCTCTTGGGATATCCTTAGGCTGCCGGGACTTCACCTCAGCTCTGCCATCACCCAGCCCTCCACTCATTCCACTCGGAACCCCAAATGCTGACCGGCCAGGGAATCCCATGCTATCCTGCAGACCGGTGTGTGCCCAAGAAAATCAGGTCCCAGCCCCTCAGGCTCTCAGTATCTTGTTAGAAAAGAGTGCACAGCTGAGCCACATAACTAGACATATGACCAGATGTGTGTTTTCCCGGACCATGTAAAAATAATATTGATGCATATATATATATATTTCAGGGCAGGAATATGGGCAAAGGCAGTCAGAGAATATTATCTCTGAAGACATTTGGACAGGATGGGAAATAGTTTATTTCTCTCAAGAGGCACTGCCCAATATTTCCAGTTATTCAATTTCTTATGATATTTAAAATCATGGGACACAATATTGGTTTATAAAAGTTTATATGAAATATTGTCATAATAGGATGAAAAGATAAAGTCACTCTGAGACTGTAAGACATGAACACGAATGGGGTAGCCACACAGGTGGGCATCTGAAAGCAAATACTGCCTGGCACCAGCTGCATAGCATTGGGCAGGTAAGGAAATATTCTCCTTCTCAGTGCTCTTGTGTTAGGAGATGAGATGGTCAAATGCTATATAGAACTTCACCCTAATTCAGTAACTACTTGCCTCATGTGGCTATATAAATTAAATTTATAATTTAAAAAAAACAGGCATTCATTTCCTCAGTCACTCTACCCTCAAGTGCCCAAGAACCCCATAGGGCTAGTAGCTATCATATTGTACAGAAAAAAAAAAAAATATATATATATATATATACACACACACACATATATATAATTTTTCAAAGAAAATTCTTCTGGACAGTGCTGGTGTATCAAGAGAGGGTCAAATATTATTTAGAATGCTGTGAAATTATCACAATTAGGCAAATAATAGGTTCATATTCAGGATTCTTAAGTTTGTGAATTTGTAGAGAACTTGGTGTATAAGCCTGAGAGCTGTGCTGCAAGTCTTTTTCTTGTCAAAAATCACTGGGGCTGTCAAACAAATCCTGATAAAGTTTATTTCAGAAAGTTCAAGTGAGGTAGGCTTTGGGAAAGCTTGCATGCAAAATATAAAAGTAACTATGGAAAGGAGAAAAAGACAAATCGAACATTTCTTACATTCATGATGAATAATTGGCACCATTTTCAAATAATTATCAAATTAGAAAAAGAATACTTTTTCAAAACATTGAGCTTTCTACTACCTATGAAGTATCCCACAATTTATTTAGGTCTTCTGAAGTTAAAAGTTAAAATGTTTTTAGTTTCATTGTACAACCTTAATTAATTTAATTCCTAGGTTAGTTAACTTTTGATGTTGTTATGAATATTATTAATTTTAAATGTTTACTTCAAATGTTATTGATGGTAGAGAAATAAAAATGATTTTCATATACTGTACTCCTGTCCAGTGTCCTTGCTAAATGTACACATTAATTCTAATAGCTTACCTGCAAATTATTCTCAATTTTCTCTTGCATTCCATCAATAATTTTTTTCCAGTTATAAAATCTTTTATTTCTTTGCTATTACACTAGCCATGACTTGTAACAACAAATACAGACATGTTATTTCAGAGGGAAAGTTTTAGAAAACTTTATTGAGATAATTATCTAAATCACAAATGTAATTTAACAGATGCATATTCATATTTATTCTGCTCCTGTCATTTTTGCTAACAGATGTTTCCAGCAATATGACTGTCATGTTAATTTTCAAGTTTAATGTCCTAACTTTGTTCTTGATATTCTCTAATGATTTTTAATGTCTGTTATTAATGTAGTGATAACATTTGAAATTTCTGATCTTGGGTATTTGAGCTTTTTTCATTTCTCCTTGATAAGTTTCACTGGAAATTATATGGCTTCAATAAGCATTTAAAGGATTTTACTTAATTTACTTCCCTTATTTCATATTTGTTTTTCTTCATGGCTTTTCTTGCCTTTATTATTTGCTTCATTCTGCCTTTGCTTTTACCTACTTAATTATAATTTAATTTGTTGATTTGGGTGATTATAAATATTCAGATAATTTTATAAATTTTATAAAATTGATATATAATTCAGATAATTTTATAAATTTTATATTTATAAATTTTATAAATTTATAAATATAAAATTTATAAATTTTATTACTTTTATAAAATTATCTGAATATTTTTATAAATTTAGGCAGCAAAATTTCCTCATAGAAAATTATAGAAAAAAAATCCAATAATATATGATATATCATGAAACAGAGGGATTATCAGAAACAAATTGGTTAAATATTTGAAACCCGTAGCTGCAAATAATCACAATAAGAGAATAAAGGGGAAAACAAGATTATCTCAAAAAAATGTATAAAACGACAGAATTCAGTATGCAGTCATAATAGGTACTCTCAGCAAAGAAGGAATACAAAAAATGATTAATCTACTAACGTATATCTGCAAAAATGACAAAACACTCACACATGGAAATTAAAAACCATTCCCTTGTGGATAATATGGCATAGGATATGTTATAAAAGGCTGTCCTGCCACAACACAGCACAGATGGGGCTGAAAGAAAGGAAGGGAAACAAAGGGCTGCCGTGAATATAGAAGCAGAGAAGACAAAAGCCTGGGTCATGCAGGGGACAGTGCCTTATTAAGCCAGCATCGGGACTGGTTGAAGACCCAGGCTTCTTCACAGTGGGAAAATGACCATAGTAATCACAATAAAGAAAGACCTCTGAAAGGTGCTCACTGAGCCTCGGATCAGAAGTGCTCTCTGCTAATGACTTGCTGGTGAAAAGCGTATCCAATGTAAGCCCTCAGAAATCCCAGAAAACAAAGACCAAGCGAAACGACGCCTTCTCAATAGAATAAATCGAAAAAAAATTTCCAGCAGTGACAGTCAGGGTATTAAAAGAAAAAACGCCACAGGCATAAGACGGAGTGAAACCAAAAGGAATTTATATAATTCACGTACGAAATGTTTCAGAATCTACAGAATTACAATTTAAAGCAGACAGATACGAAAATACAATGAAAGCGTGCATGACCGAAACGAGAAGAGATTAAAACCTCATTCTCTTGAGGAAATGGTGTGAGAAGGGTATTAGGGACTGCCGAAACACGGCGAAACAAAGGCAGAAGGCAGACAAAAGGGGCTGGGCTGGTCCCCGCCTGTGTGAACAAAAAAGATGTCAGATTGCAAAATTGCCGCAAAAATCAGGCAGCGCGCGGAGGTTGCCCTGACAGGAAGTGTCCGCCATGCTGCCTGTGCCCGGAAGTAGGTAGGAACACATAGTCACAGGGAGCCAAGAGCAGGGGGGACCAAAAAAAGATGCACACTTCCCCCAGAGAAGTCTCGATCGTCGCCGCCGCTCCGGGCCTCAAGGCCGTAAAGAAAAAATACCGGAGACGTTCTGGCACTATTTCGGGGTAAAGAAGCTGCCATGGAAGAGCCTGCAGCTCCCTCAGAGGCCCTCGAGGCAGCCGGGGCCCAGGCAGGTGCTGAGGCAGCAGGGGAGGGTGTGTCTGGGCCTGACCTTCCCGTGTGCGAGCCCTCCGGGGAATCTGCTGCTCCAGATTCGGCCCTGCCACATGTGACTGTGGGCTGGGCCCCCTTCCCTGTAGCCCCAGTCCCTGCCCACCTCCGCACAGGAGGCCTGAGGCCTGCACCAGCCTCTGGAGGAGGAGCCTGGCCCAGTCCCTTGCCAAGCCGAAGCAGTGGCATTTGGACAAAGCAGATCATCTGCAGGTATTATATACATGGGCAGTGCAAGGAGGGGGAGAACTGTCGCTATTCCCACGACCTTTCTGGTCGGAAGATGGCCACTGAGGGCCGCGTTTCGCCGCCTGGGGCCTCTGCAAGTGGAGGCCCTAGCACGGCTGCGCACATCGAGCCCCTGACTCAGGAAGTGGCGGAAGCCCCCCCGGCTGCATCCTCCCAGTCCTTGCCTGTGATTGGCTCGGCTGCTGAAAGGGGTTTCTTTGAAGCTGAGAGAGACAATGCAGATCGTGGAGCTGCTGGAGAAGCAGGTGTAGAAAGCTGGGCGGATGCCATTGAGTTTGTTCCAGGGCAGCCCTACCGGGGCCGCCGGGTTACATCTGCCCCCGAGGCTCCTCTACAGAGCTCGGAGACTGAGAGGAAGCAGATGGCTGTGGGCAGGGGGGAGCGGTTTTGCTATTATGCTTCCAGGGGAGTTTGCTTTCGTGGGGAGAGCTGTATGTACCTCCATGGAGACATATGCGACATGTGTGGGCTGCAGGCCTTGCACCCCATGGATGCTGCCCAAAGGGAAGACCATATAAGGGCCTGCATTGAAGCACACGAGAAAGATATGGAACTCTCGTTTGCTGTGCAGCGTGGTATGGACAAGGTGTGTGGCATCTGCATGGAGGTTGTCTATGAGAAAGCCAACCCCAATGACCGCCGGTTTGGCATTCTTTCCAATTGCAACCATACCTTCTGTATTAGGTGTATCCGCAGGTGGAGAAGTGCCAGACAGTTTGATAACAGGATCATCAAGTCTTGTCCACAGTGCAGGGTCACCTCCGACTTGGTCATTCCCAGTGAGTTCTGGGTGGAGGAGGAGGAAGAGAAGCAGAAACTTATTCAGCAATACAAAGAGGCAATGAGCAACAAGGCCTGCAGGTATTTTGCGGAAGGCAGGGGTAACTGCCCATTTGGAGACGCATGCTTTTACAAGCATGAATACCCTGAGGGCTGGGGAGATGAGCCTCCTGGGCCAGGTGGTGGGTCATTCAGCGCATACTGGCATCAACTTGTGGAGCCTGTGCGAATGGGAGAGGGCAACATGCTCTATAAAAGCAGTAAGAAGGAGCTTGTCGTGCTTCGGCTAGCCAGTCTGTTGTTTAAGCGGTTTCTTTCACTGAGAAATGAGTTACCCTTCTCTGAGGAGCAGTGGGACTTGCTTCATTATGAGCTGGAAGAATATTTCAATTTGAATCTGTAGCATCGTGCTGTGGCATGTGGTCTAGTCTCCTGAGGTTCTGTCATCTTTTAATGCCTGTTTTCTCTATGTTGACACTCCTATTGCTTTCTGGGGCTGTTGAGGCAATGTTTCTGTTTTCTTATCTATTCTGCGTATCTTTCCTTCTAGGATTATGGTGATTATCTGTGTTAAAAAAAGTAAGCCTATAAAGTTACTATTTTGGTGAAATTAATATTAATGTCAGTTTGTGGCTTTTTTGTCATCTCTGTTTTCAACAGGATTAACTCAGTTCTAGTGTAGTGTTTACTGAATTTCCACACTTATTTTGAAGACTCTCAAGAGTAAATGTGGCAGAGAGAAAGGAGAAGTTTTAATTGAACTAGTAGCTTTGTGCTATAACAGCCTTACCAAATGGACCCTTGCAGGGCCTTGCAGCTGCTCATCTGTTTGTTTACAGTCTGTTCTTTCCCTTCCTCCCTTTTCAAGTGCACTTGTTAAACTATGATGAACTTGTGACTTTGTGTTTTACTTGACCAAAACCAAGTGTATATGTTTACATGTTTTTATCCTGTTTAGCTTGACGTGAAATAATTTATATTTGGAAATATATATTTAAGAATGATATATATATATAATATATGCATATATATGTATAAGTTATGTATTTGAAAAAATATATAAAAGAATATACATCACAATATAATATTTATGTTTATGTAATAAAGTAAATACAGACCCGAAAGCTGAAGGTCAAAGCCTAACAGGATTGGCTGTTGTGTGAATGTGAGTTGTGTGAATAATCTTTCTGTCCCATGCACAGAAGCCAGTAATTAACATCTAATGAAAAGGACTGTTCAAGTGGGTCTGGCCAAATATAACAGATGCACATCTTAGAGGACTTACAAAGCATGATGTTGGTAGTTCTTACAATGGCATTCATAGCTCACTCTATAAATATTTAAATGGTGTTCCTATGCAGTTTAGCCACCTTCTCATTTATTCTTTGTAACAGCAAATCCTAGGCTCAGAGGCACAGTGCTTTGTATTTGATAAACAAAGTCTCTAGATTTTCCCAACAAGGGGCTTTGGACAAAAGATTTCAACATAAAAGTAACAAGATTATAAAAGGGAAAATAGAAAGAAAATACTAAAACCAGTGAGAATTAAAGAATGGAAAGATAAAATAATATAGAAAGCACTACACATCAGTACAACTTAATTAGATTAAATTAAAGCAAGTTTAAAGACTGAAAGTCAAAGGCTATAAGACTTCATTACTATCAAAATGAAACATCCTATTTAAAATATACACAACATAAAAATACAGAAACATTCAAAGTAGTGGGATGCGGAAAAACCAAACAGGTGCAGTGACTCTCTTGATTGTAGACAAAGTTTATAGTAACGATAAACACTTTGCTGGAGATAAAAAGGAATGATACATAAATATTAAATTATAATTAACAGGAATTCAAATTTTGTATACATTTAATAACATTATATCAGATGCACAAATAACGGATAAAAATAGAAGATCCTAAATCCAGACTTTTAGGGGACAATTTATGCCTTTTGGGTAACCATACAAGCAAGGAAAAAATGAATGTGAAAAAAGAATGACAGCATTTTCATGATTTACCTAATGAACCTGTGTAACTTACTGTATGCATCAACTGCAAATGCACTTATCTTGGCTGAAGTAGCTGAAAAATATGCTGGGAGTGTCAGTCTTGAGTCCCAGGTTATTCACACTGTCCTGACAGTCCAACAAAGATGGCACATTTAAAGGGTTTATACCATGTATTTGCATGCAAAAGGATGAATTTGTCAAACTACCTAATGTGGTACTTGCTATAATTTTTCTCATTATCCTGATGAGGTAAATAGTAGAGAATTTAAAGGTTTTGTCCATAGAATTTATGACCCATAGCTGTGAATTAGTGGAACAAAGACTGGAACTCAAATAGTGTATGTCCAGAGCACTTGCACTTACCATGTCCACTAGAAGCAGATGGACCAGCTGAATACAGCTGCTGGAGACGCAAGTACAGACTTTAAGTATGGATCGTTCAGCCAAGTGGGACAAAGAGGGACATAAATAAGCTCCCTCAGAATGTGGGAACCATGGGGCTTTTATCTAAAGGCTGCCAGCTCAGTGACTTTAGGTCACTGCTTCAGAGTGTGCCTCAGCCTCCTATAATTTTACATTGCCTCTCCCTTCTTACATGACTCCTAGTTCTCCTAGTAAGTACGTCAGCCTGTTTGCCTGGACCTTTTGTCATATTCCTTTCCTCTTGATTCCTCTTACCCAAAGAATCCTGGGCCAGGTGCTGGGTCATTCAGCACATACTGGCATCAATCAGGACACCCTCTTGATGCCTGACTATCACTGGCATGCAAGGTGAGTGACAGATTCCAAATAAAATCCAAACATCTGAGGTCCCTGCCCTGCAGTCATGCAGGAGAAAGAGATATTGGATGAACTAAACAACCAAAGAATGAGACCAGATGGTGTACTCTCAGACTGTGCCAACACCAAAGTCTCAAAAAATGAGCCCCAGTAGTGCCAAAGCTTTCAGAGAGGTGTTTTTAGGCTGAGCCCAGAAAGCTGTGGAAAGTTTCTCCAAATGTACACTGTCCTGCATTGTGAAATACGTTTTTATTGAAATAGTATGTTGAACCACATAATCATAAAGTTCGGGATTTATAGTAGGACAATGGTTAGTAGAAAATGAAGTGGCTTGGGAGACAGACAAAGGATAGCAGAATACTGACTCTGCTTCTTACCAGCCATTCAGTTTCACAGTCTCAACAAGTTACTTAAATTTTCTGTGCTTCAGTTTCTTCATATGAGAAATGGGTACAGTTCCACCTACTTTTGCAGGATTGTTGTGAGGATCAAATGTAGTCTGGACAAAAACTTGAAACAGCTTTTTTTTTTTAAGTGACATATATAGAAGTGAGATTTGTACATAGGTTTGGACAGGAAAAGGTGATTGCACAAGAATTAATCACCAAGATTTTCTTTTTTGAGAATCTTTGGAACTTGAATTAATGTAACATTATCATTTTATGATTATTTTGGTAAGCAAGGGATATATTACCCTCACATTGATAATTTCAAAAAGACAAAATATTTTTTCAGCAAAAATTAGTTGAAACTATATACATGCTATTCAATTATTTAACAAAAGAAATATATTTTTGGCAGATTCTTAGGAAAATAACAAAGTGACCTTTTTAGAATATATGGGATTCCTTGTTCCCTCATCAGCTTATTCAAAAAAATGTTAAACAATAGAGGTATTACTGTTACCAAGTCTGCTGAAGTGTTACCAAAGGCTTTCCAATAAAGACATCTGCCCACTCCCCTGCTGCAGTTGGGAACAAAGAATCCTTTGCACACAAAGTTCTGCTCTGTGAGTGATTCACAATGTGTGCTGGTCCTCGCTCCCATAAGGACCCAGGGACTCAGCCCTGGGGTCCACAAAAATGGTATCATTTCAGCTACAAATAAAAAAGCCTGAAGCAAGTCAGGTTTGTTTACATTTCATGTGTCTCCATTTAATGCATATCCACGCATGCAAATATACTAAGGGGAATTTACCTAGTAATTCCTCCCTTTGAAAAGATACGGAAATCATTTGTCTCACGGCTCACATGTCACTAAATCAATTCACTGAATTTCACTCACAGGGAAACAATTTGAGTCCGTAGTGAATGCCTATATATGCTCTTTCGTTTTACAGTTTTCTAAACATCTTGGAAGCATGGTTTCTGTTGCCACAGCTAATGCTAAACTACAACTTCAGTGTGGGAGAGTTAGGGTGGGCCTGGGAAAAGGGATGTATGGGAAATAACCCAGTACTAGTGCAAAGAAGTAAATTCATGTCAGAATTTTTGCCATGAAAATATGTATCACATTTTCCAGTATTAATGGAACACTAACAAAAATAATACAGATTACAGTGAAACTGTCAATTAGATCTAGATATTAAAAGTAGTACAGGCAACATTCTCTGAGGTCAATATAAGAAAAGCTACTACCACTTGAAACTTCTTTTCTGTCTCATAAATAATTTGATATAGAAGTGAATTCAGAATCACTTAGCAGAATATAATATGACAACAAAAAATTAAAAATACCATAATACACAGGATACTTCTAGATCTGTACTCAGAGTATAACTCCTAATTTTAAATACTAATATATATTGTCTAAAAACAATTAGCCTAAATAGCTAGTTATTCAAGCTTAAAGTTTGAAAAGACCACAAAATGAACACACACACTTACACAAACACATACAAACACAACTAAAGTAAGCAGGAGGAATTAAGAAGTGTTAAACTAAATATTTGTTGAGCAGAGAATGAAAATGTAAAGGCTGATTTTTTTTGGTAAAAATAATTAGTAAACAGATAAACCACTAACTTAAAAAATAAAGGATAAAGTGCAATTAAACAAAATAGGAAATGTTTATCAGCGGTAATTAGAGCTAAAAAGGTACTAAAGAAATGAGAAATAAATTATTGTTATATCTGAGGGAAATATACTTGAGAATATGAAACAATTTAACAGTTTCAATATAATTTTTTAGACATTAATCCAGAAGACACATCTAAATGAACCTATTACTAACAATAACAAAAAAACTTGTCTAAAATGCACTTACTCTCCACTCCACACAAAAAGAAATAGTACAGAAGACTTTATCACCCTGAAATTTACTTAACATTTAAGTGAAATAGATTGCAACGCTATATAAACCATTTCTTAGTCCATTTGAGCTACTATTTAAAAATATAAACTAGGTGGCTTATAAGCAACATAAATTTATTTCTCACAGTTCAGGAGGCTGAGAAGTTTAAGAGGATGGCACTGGCAGTTTGGTGAGTCAGTTCCTGGTTCATAGATGACCATCTTCTCACGGTGTCCTCACATAGTGGAAGGAACTACCAGCCTCACTAGGGCCCCTTTAATTGTGATGTTTTGATGTACAGTAAAATTTATTAAAACTAAAAACTATAAATAATTACATAAATATATTTGCTTTCTTTTTCATGGGTAGTTTGTTTTTCAGTGGAGAAGTGCTTGAAGCAATGCCATGTAATAACATGTTAATAGTGAAAGCTTTATGCAAGTTAATCAAGAGTACAGTACAACATAAACGATGAAGGAATCACAGTTGTGGGGGCTTAGACACAAAGCTGTGTATACCATTTGAGCTGGCTAGTTGGAGTCTCTTTTATTAAGGACACTAATCTCATGTATGAAGCCTCCACTATCATGACTTCATCACCTTCCAAAGGTCCCATCTCCTAATACCATTACATTAGAGATTAGATTTTTGACATATAAATTTTGGAGCTACACAGACCTCAGTATACAAAACTGCTATGGTTTGGATACGGTTTGTTTAGCCCCACCAAGTCTTATGTGGAAATTTGATCCAGTGTTGGAGGTGGGGCCCGGTAGGAGGTGTTTGAGTAATGGGAGCAGATCCTTCGTGAATGGTCTTGCTGCTATTCTCACAGGAGTGAGTGAATTCTTACTCTGAATTCCCATTAGAACTGGTTGTTGGAAAGAGCCTAGGCTGGGTACAATGGCTCATGCCTGTAATTCTAACACTTTGGGAGGCAGAGGCATAAGGATTGCTTGAGGCGAGGAGTTTGAACCAGCCTGGACAACACAGTGAGACCCCATCTCTACAAAAAAATAGAAACAATTAACCAGACATGGTTAACCAGTGCATGCCTGT